TACATAAATGCGAGATTTGTTTTTCATGGTTGGTTGAAAGCTTATGGGGATTTCTAAATAATAAGATTTTGATATTCTCAAAAATAAAGAGAAGTAATAAAATTTAAGTTATTAGTTGCTTGAGTTTAACAAAAGAAGTATTTTTTTTGTTGAAAATACTTTCTAATTTATAGATAGAATAAGAGGAATAGATCGGAATAGCAGTTAACAAATTGATAGACATTTAAAATAATGATTGATAGTCAAACTTAGAGTTTTTTTGAGAATTTAAAATCGTTTAATCAATAATTAATTTTAATACAGATAGAATATCTTGTTGTGATTCAAATGTTAATTATATATTATCTAAAATATTACATAGATATTACATAGATATTAGACAAACCTCTTCTATGCGCAATTATTTGAAGATAGTAAATACCTGAATACTGAATATAAAATAAATTATTTAAATCTTTAGAAACAAGTACATCAATTTAGTATGACTATTTTCCATTTCATAAAAATCTTTATGATTATTTTAATTTGAGCCTAAAAATATAAAAACCATTTCGGAATAAATAATAGTAGACTCAAAAATAATTCAACAAAAAAAGGCAGGTCAAGTATTATTATTTACTAAATATTGGATAGCCTCTTGTAATTAAGTTATATCTTTAGTATATCTCTGCATATTGATAATAAATTTATTAAACTCTACCTCTATAAAATATTCATTCGAATTAAAAGTATTAATTATTTAGTAAAATAATTTTAGGATAATCAAATGTATTTTGCTTTTATATAATTTATTTTTCAATTCTCATCCTAATCATAAAAATAATTTACATTCAATTTCATTTTGAATATTATGGATATGGTTTGAAGATTCCTACAAAAAGTAAGCATAGGAAGAGTGAGTAGGACATCTGATTAAGCTAAAATGGATGTTGAAAGTAGCTTAGAAGTTATCTTAAAAATACTCTTTTGAGGAATGAGAGGCAACAATAAGTGAATTAAAAAGTAAATTAATACTACAAAATCTAAACTCCACATATTCTTGAATTAATATGTTGGAATATTTGTTCTATAATATAATCAAATGCATAAATTTTTAAGGAGTGTAATCTTCATACATAAGTTTTGAAGATTGTTACTGTTGAAATGTTGAGCTTTATGGATTCTTTTAATTATGGTACAGAGTGATGGGGGCAAGAATTTCTCTTTTATATATTTTTCTAACCATAGAATTAATTGCTAACTAAAAAGCTTGTAAACATGAAAGAGTAAAAACTATATTTCATAAGGGAAATGAGATAATTTAAAATTTTTCCTTTAGAAATTAATATATTTTAAATGTAATTTGAGAAAAAAATAAGTGATAAAAAGATAAGAAACTGATCGCCCAAGTATATAGAATAGAAAAAGAAGTTTGTTGAGTAACTAGATGCAATTGCAAGGGGGCGTATTTCTGTTTTTTAAAAGAATAAAATGGAGAAATTCTAAGAAGTTTAATACTAGGGGAAATAGTTTTAGAGCAACTTAGTCTTGTTTCTTAAATAGCAGCACTCAATACTATACTATTCTCAATTACTGTTAAGGGTTTGGGGTTGGGGTTGGG